AAAAAGTATTCAAAGCCTTCTTGATTTTAATTGTCAATTTATTCACATTCTAATATTTATTCATTTTCATATCTTTGTTTTTTCCACTGTTGTGCAAACACAATTCCAACAGCTGTTAACATGTGTAAAATTAAATATGCATTTATTCCCTTTGAAATACAAATAGTAAGTAGTAAGCTACATACCTTCACATGGCTGGCAAGCCACTCCCACCCGGTCATATGGCTGGCAAGCCACTCCCACCTAGTCACATGGCCAGCAAGCCACTCCCACAAAGGAGGCCACACCCACAGAGTAGGTTCCAAAATTTTTTGAAACCCACCACTGGCTACCAGGGATTGAATTCTTAATCTGCTGAGTGGGAGGCAAGCATCTTCACTACTAGGCCACCATGCCACTCATGAATTCAAGCTTAAAAGAAGCACCAAAAGAAAATGATAGCAATTCCATCAGGACAGCAAAATAAAGAAACAGAATTCCTTCTTATAGTGGAAGAGAACCTCTGAGGAATTGCAGACAGATTTTGCTCAGAAGAAGCAGCAAGATCTCCAACCTCAGGCAACTGGATATCTTGTGTAGACTTTGAATGTGGGTATAGTCCTGAAAGGTTGAAGGTTAGTTAATGGGCTTTAGTAAGGACATCTTTGAATAGGATCTCCTGCTTGGGCTTTCTCGTTTTAAAAGCAGCAAGCGAGTTTGGAAGGAGCATAACATCAGAGACTAAAAAGAATAAAGTAGTGATTAAACAATGAGTTTATTAAAGTGGCTACATCAAGGTTCAATTAAAAGAGTTAGAGAGAGGCAGAGAGATTTCTCAGTATTAATCGATCATAGCTACTTTTCATACAACCATGCATAACTAATCTACCCAAATAAGTAATTCATTTGCAAGTTACTAATTATGTCAACTCTGCAGATAATAATAGGCTGAACATTGATCATTCCAAAGTATCTTAGATATAAGCAGAACTTTTTAACTATTCAACTAATTCTTGAGCTTGCAAGGACTTTGCAACAGTTAACCCACAGGAGTGTTTCAATAGAAGAAAATACAACAATGTGAATAACATTTGACAGTAGTTGCAATATTTCACTGAGGCTGTGTGATGCAATAATTATAACTGCATAAATAGAGAACTGTGTCCTGTCCCAGGAGTAAGATTTGGTTCAGAACCAATCAAAACATGACCCTTTATCTGCTGTTTGCATTCCTTTTCCTTGCATTTCTGTCTGAATCAGGTAAGAAATTAAATTACTATAATTGAGAAATGACTGATAACTGACTACCTTCTAAGCAAGTAAGATCATCACTCAGAGCAGGATAATCTTCAACTTCTTCTTTTAGTTTATGTTTAAAAAATAGCTTTGAACATTGTCGACTATTGACAACATGAGCCTTCAAACATTTGAAGAATATGCCATTGATTTTTCCTTTGGATCTAAACTCGAGATCCAGGGAGATAAACAGCATCAAGGAAGGACTGGAAAACCAATTTATTGATTTACTCTTCTCTACAAAGCATAACTGGAGGTTTTATTATTGTAATAAAATAGCTAATTTGGACATAGTGCCAGGCTTCCAGAAATTCTGTGGTGCTTTTGGACTTGGCTTGATCTAGGATGGTCACAGTTCCCCAGTTGAAAGTATGTTTAAATCTGTCCATAATCTGTGAAATTAAAGAGTTTTCACTTTCCATGAAACCTGCTACTTGTTGTTTATGGAAATGGGAGGAGGAAGGAACATTAGATACATTTGCCACCTTGAGTTATTTTAAGAAATAAAGATGAGATAAAAATAAATAAAAACTAAATGTTAATTATTTAGTGAATCTATTGATATTCAATTTGTAAAAAAAGAGATTTTTTGCAGCAAAATGTTCCAAATGCAACACTTTTGAAGAACAGAGACGAGCAGCATTAAAAACATTAAAAGAAGAGGAAGAAAGCCAAAAGTAAACCAGATCCTGAGGTTCAAAGGAAGTTAACTATTCTCACTCAACTTCTTCATCCAAAACACCCAGCAGAACTAGCCAGGGTAATTCAGGATTATTTCTTAGCAAGCAAGGATCCATAGTAATAATGGAGAGAAATATATCACCGCAACATCTTCCTTTGGTGTGAATCAGATTTTTTCCTCCATACAACCTTAATAGAGACAGATGTACCTGCCAATTCAGCTCTGGGCCAAGCTTAAAACCTGTGTTGATATATGATATATTATGGCTGCTGAAGGTAGATTAGCAGAAATGGATTCCTTAGTCAGAGAGAATTTTCTGAATTCACAGGAATCCTACAATTCTGTGGGAGAAAGTGATGTCTTAGAAGGAAAAATAAAGTATCTAACGAAGTATCTTTCCTTATCATTCCCCTACCTACTCTTTTTCTTTTCATAGGTAATGCCCAGCGGTGGTGTCATCGTCGAGGAGGACGCTGCTTTAGCCATCGCTGTTTACAAAACTTTGAAAACCTTGGCAAAATTGACTGTAGACAGAGTCATATATGTTGTCGACCGTAAGTAAACATTTCTCTAATAAAGTTCCCAGAGATTTGGATACCCTTGTTTACATTCCAAAGTATTCCAAGGCATTGACCTGAAAAGGAACAGGTCTTTCAAAGGAAGAAAGATGGGCAGGAGAAATTTTCAGGTTCAGATAACAGAATTTACTTAAACTTACTTTGATCAACCTATTATATAGACGGCTTAATAGCAGTAACTAGGAGAGGGATATTGGTGTCAGTGGAGAACCAGTTAAATATGAGCCAGCAGTGTGTGGCAGCAACCAAAAAAGCAATCCTAAATTGCATTAACAGGGAGATGCAATCAAGATCAAGTGAGGTATTAATACTATTCTATAAAACCTTAGTAAGACCACACCTAGAATACTGCATCCAGTTTTGATCATCACACTATAAAATATGTTGAGACTCTCGAAAAAGTCCCGAGAAGACCAACCAGGATGATTAGGGGATTGGAGTGTAAAACATATGAAGAATGGGTTACAGAAACTGGGCATGGCTAGTCTAGTGAAGAGAAGGATCAGGGGAGACATGGTAGCAATGTTCCAATATTGAGTGGCTGCCAAAGAGAGGAAAGGGTCAAGCTATTTCCCAAGGCAACTGAAGATTAGACAAGGAATAATGGATGGAAATTGATCAAGGAGAGTCAATCTAGAAATAAGGAGAAATTTTCTGACAGTGCAAACAATCAACCAATGGAACAGCTTGCCTTCTGAAGATGTGGGAGCTTCATCACTGGATGTTCTCAAGAAGAGATTGAGCTGCCACTTATCAGAAATGGTGTAGGGTTTCCTGCTTGGGTGGGGGGGTTGAACTAGTTGACCTACAAGGTCCCTTCCAACTCTATTAATCTGTTACATCTGTTATTATTTTATCTCATTTATATAGGCGCAATGGAAAATAATGCCATCTCCATCGAGCATCCAGGATGTCTTCAAGATATGGCCAATGACCTGAGATTACTGCCTGCTATCATTTTATCTTTCTTTACATGAATCAAATTGCTATCTATCAAATTCTAAAATATTTATGCATTGAAGTAAAATTTAGCAAATATTTCTTGAAATAAAGCTAGATGAACATTGCAGTTTTTTGTGTGACTTTTTAAGAGGGACCTGGGAGCAGTATATTCATTTAACTATGTGTATGTGTGTTTGTGTATCAAATCTCTTTGACTACATTTCAGTGTGGAAGGTGTTCCCTGCTCTTCAATCACACATTATGCCATAAAGTTACATAGTCCCTTCTTCCTCATCTGTTTATTTATTGAAGCAATTATTTTGCCATTGAGGTCTTACATCTGATGTGGTTGCATTAACTATTAACTAAAATGGGAAATGAAAGATCCAGCCTATTCTGATACTTAAGAATCTCTTTAAGATTTTTTTTTCCAAGCTAAATACTGTGGGATACAGGGGTGGGTTCCTGCCAGTTTTAACCTTTTCTATAGAAGAGGTTCCACAAATCTACAGTGCCATTTAGAACTGGTTCCAGCTTCCTTCCCCCGCCCATCCACACATCATCAAGATGAAGAGTGAGTGGAGGAATTCTGGGAGTTGAAGTCCACAAGTCTTAAAGCTGTCAAGTTTGAACACCCCTGGGTTTTTTTTCCTAAAGGGTTAGGGGTTCAAGGGTCTTGTAACTTGGCAGCTTTAAGACTTGCGTGCTTCAAATGCCAGAGTTTCTGAGACAACATTTTGATTGCTAAGCAAGAGTATTGTTAAGTGAGTTTCACCACATTTTACAAGTTGGCCAAGTCCACCCAGTCTCATGACTGCCAAGCCACTCCCACTCAGTCACATGGCTGGCAAGCCGCTCCCACCTGGTCACATGGCCGGGCAAGCCACTCCCACACAGCAGGCCACACCTACAGAAGAGGTTCTAAAAAAAATTGAAACCCACCACTAGTGGGATACTACTTAGAATAAGAATGCCCTTGTCTGTCGATTCAGTATCAGCATAGGCAGGATCTTGTTAAAGGAATAGAAGTCATTTAACTAGAGGAAATTTGCATAAAAGCGTTGGAAGAAAAATCCAGTCCAATTTCAAGCCTGGAGTAAGACATAGAAGCCAATAAATTTGGAAGCAAGCTGCTGCAGGAAAGGAGGTCTCCATTTATTTAAGAGTCAGAAGTGAAGTGACTCAGAATCAGTTCTGGGACAGCTGACAGCCTGCCATGGGGAATAGAGTGATTTTATACCCCTTTGGACCTTTGACATTGAGATGCCTGGTGGGGTCATTTGATTTGAGTAAATTCTGTATTCTAATTGTCTATTTGGTTTCCTGGGTGGTAGTCAGGATCAAGAGCCGAGGTGGCGCAGTGGTTAAATGCAACACTGCAGGCTACTTCAGCTGACACTTATTACAAAAATTAAAAGGGACATTAAATGAAGCATCCAAAAAAGCCCCAATTGATATTTACAATAAAAATTTAAAATTAAATTAAAATTAACAACCAAATTAATCCTATATTTTATTCTATTCAGGCCAGGCCGGCTTGCTGAAAAATCCAACTTTTTAGGGCGCGTCAGAAGGACCGGAGGTTGGGATCATGCAAAGCTCCGGGGGCAGCTCATTCCAGAGGTGAATTTCAAGGCTACTCTTGGGAAAAGGTGGGGAAATTCTGTGTAGTTTTGTGTTTTCTGTGTGTTTTCTATGAAATTCTGTGTAGCTTTGTGTTTTCTGACTTGATCCTTAATTCTGTCAATTCAGCTTGTCTCAGGCTGGGTTACTTGAGGCCATTCTGGCTGGATGGAAGGATTGCTGTAGCTTTTATGAATGGTTTTTCTTTGCGTTCTCTGGGACCATGGAAATAAAGAGAGGAGGTGGAAATCTTATAATTCTTCCTACAAAAGAGGGGACATTTTCTTGGACCATACTTTTTGTTAGATGGATAAACCAGCAGATGTATGCTATTAATATTACTCACCAGCATAAAACAGATCTACAATGAAATAAAATTATAAGAGCATGGAATTGGTAGAATATGTTACAAACACACACAGAAAGAGACACACTGAGACAGGGAGAGGGGGAGAGGGAGGGAGGGAGAGAGAGAGAGAGAGAGAGAGAGAGAGAGAGACTCCAAATGAGGAATACTATTGTGGACACTGTTATACCTATGCTCATAAAGGGATGCAAGCTAATAATATGCACAAATAAAAATATAATTTACAAAACCAGAATGTATACAAAAGCGTAACACACATAATCAGAAAACAAGTCTGAACATTCATAATTTTCCTCCCTCTCAAATCTTGTCCGCTGACTTTCAATTCTCCTTCACTACAGTGCCTATATTTAGAAAAGGATAAAAATATTCAATTTACAACAAAATAATTTAATCTCATGGACACAAATTATCCCAAAAATTCTTAAAATCTGAACTATGAATCATAGATCACCCAAAAAACTTATTAAAATACAAACACCATGTTTCCCTGAAAATAAGACCTGCCTGGATAATAAGCCCAATTGGGCTTCTGAGGGCATGCGCTAAAATAAGCCCTCCCACCAAAATAAGCCCTCCCCAAAAATATTGCAATACAGCAGCAGCCTTGAGGTGACCATGCTCGCCACCTCCTGCACCTCAAAAATAAGAGGATCTTCCCGAAAAGGGGGTCAAAAGAAAATAAAACCCTGACTTATTTTGGGGGAAACACGGCAGTAATTAACATGTATGCCTAAGGCCAATTGTTTACAAATATTCACTTGCCATTATAAAAAACCTATGGGCTAGAGTTTCCTTATGTGAAAGTTCTACCCCATATAAGTAGAAGAAAGTCAACATAAGTTTTTTTAGGCTGACATGAAGGAAAAGGGGTCATCCTCCACCATTTGGTAAGAGCTGAAGAAACTTCTTGATGAGAAGTGAAATGTCTCCAAAGGGGAAAAAAAAAATCTCCAAAGCTCAGTTGCCTTCTGAAAAAGCACTTTTAGAACAACTATGATCTGGATGACTGAGAATCTCTACTAACAGTGGAAGAGAGTAGGATACAATTTTAAAATCCACCACTGGGAGGTTATCAAATCAATTTGCCATATTCCAGGGGACTCATCCTCAATGAAGCCATTCACACCTGCTATATAGTTTAAAAATGCTTCTCCCATGCTTACCTTCCCTACATCGATAACTCTTCAATTATTGTGGATACTCAATTTCTCTTTCTTAGTCTTGTGAGCAATATAGGAAGGATAATACAGATAAAAACACACTAAGAATTAAAAAGTTAACAATCATCATAAGAAGGAATATGCTGGAGTCATTTCTAATATGAACAAACCATCTGGATAAATTAACAGAGAACCCTATAGGCCCCACCCCTAACATGAACTTTAAAACATTTATAAATTGTGATGCTTGGAAATTTGTCTTCATTGTCCCTCTTCAAACCAATTTCCTGCATAAAGCCAGTGCCTGGACTGAGTGGCCAAAATTCCTTTTCTATATTTTAACTCTCTTTAATTCCCTTTTATCTTTTAGTTGTTATACTAATAACAACTAATAAAATATTTACATGCAAAAAACCATTTTCATTCTTTTTTTACAGGTTGTAGTGACATTACTGCCTATTTATTCAGAGACCTTTGAAATTTGGCCCATGGATCCCTGCTGCTACTTACAATTACTTCACCTTCATTTATGTACTTCAGTTAGGAGGCAGTGCAGTGCAAGAGGTGGCCAGCTGAGCAGCAGTGAAACAAAGCTAGATGGCTGTGAGCCAGTGGGGCAGACCAGCTGGGCACCGGCAGTGCAAATCTAAGTGGCAGAGGAGTGGAGCATCCACAGCAGCAGCTGACAGCAGTCAGAGCAGCTGAGATCCCTTTCAGTCTGGTTTCAGGCCTGGTTACTACACCGAAATTGCTTTGGTTGCACTGACCGATGATCTCTGGTGAGCCAGGGATAGAGGGCATTCCTCTCTCCTGGTGCTTCTTGACCTCTCAGTGGCCTTCAATACCATCGACCATGGTATCCTTCTGCGGTGGCTGGAAAAGGTGGGAGTGGGAGGCACGGTTTTACGGTGGTTCTCCTCTTACCTCTCTGGCAGGTCGCAGTCGGTGTTGGTCAGAGGACAGAGGTCGACCCCTAGGCCCCTTGAATACGGGGTGCTGCAGGGCTTGGTCCGGGCCCCCCTCCTATTTAACATCTACATGAAGCCACTGGGTGAGATCATTCGTCAGTATGGGATTAAATACCACCAGTATGCGGACGATACCCAGCTGTATCTGTCCACCCCGTGCCAACTCAGTGAAGTGGTGGAAGTAATGTGCCTGGAAGCTGTCAGGGTCTGGATGGGAATGAACAAGCTTGCGCTCAACCCTGACAAGACTGAGTGGCTTTGGATGCTGCCTGCCAAAAATAGTCCAGATATTCCACCTTTAAACCTGGGGGGTGAAATTTTACACCCCTCAGAGAGGGCCCACAACTTGGGTGTTCTCCTGGATCCGCAGCTGACATTAGAACATCATTTGTCAGCTGTGATCAGCGGAGGTTTTGCCCAGGTTCGCCTGGTGCACCAGTTGCGGCCCTACCTGGACCAGGAGGCACACCAAATGATCACTCATGCTCTCATCACCTCAAGGCTCGACTACTGTAACACGCTCTACATGGGGCTGCCCCTGAAGAGTGTTCGGATACTACAATTGGTACAGAATGCAGCCGCGCGAGCGATACTGGGTGTACCTAGGTACACC